CTAACTACGCGCGGGCGTTCTGCGATGAACTAGGTGGGGGATTGTCTTCGCATATACTTGGGACCTGGTACTCATCAAACACTGACAGCGGGGGAGGGGAGGAGGCGGCAGGGACTGGAAATGATTCTACAAATTCTGTCTCTTCAGCCAATTGTAGATGACGCCACGATACTTGGAGAGCCAGTACTTGTCTCGAATACACTGAATCAGTATCCGTGCAATAGAACGAGCAGTCTGACGTTCTGGATCATCCTTCAGGGCATTGTACATGTCTCGCAACTGAAAATGAAAGCGATTACGTCTAAGAGATCTCGAATATATGAAAAGACAGGACCACAAAAATCGTAAAACACCCTGAAATGTGCATCTAAATCTTCTTGGTCTTTAGGAATAATAATAGTAAATTAAAGTTGCAGCGATTCACGATTTGGGACGAGGAGTGTGCGCATGTCGCACAGGTTGAATCTACGGTGGGTCTCGAACATTCTTCTGTTAAATATCCTACTAACAAACAACGCCATATGCAATAATTAGTAGCACGATCGCCATTGGGCTTCGGCACGCGAATGAAGCATCCACAGAGACTTGCTGTGATGTCCCACTTACACCGTTTCTGACAGCGGGCACCGTGTTTAAAGGGTTAATTTAAAGAGTCACCTCATTTTGGATGGGTAACGCCTCGATTATTATGCGGCGTTTCTCAATGGCCTTGAAGAGTATCCGGAGTGGTAGACTAAAAGAAAAAAAGACAGACAACTTATGATTGATCTGCTGATGAAACACGTATATTCAATAAAGTTGTACAAAGAAACGATGTAAGTCCTCGAAGTTAAGCTGCAAAAAGGCTGGTTCCAGCTCAGGTCTGTTGAATATTTTCGACAAGCGTCCGAATTGGCTAAATAGATTCTGTTCACACTTATCGCAATCTCTAGCAACTCTACCTCCTGGAGATCCTGCATATTAAATTTCTTTTGCCTAATGGTAAATCAGAAACGGATTTAAGACTTAGCTGAACGAAGCAGATCACACTTGGACAAATCGAAGGCGAAAATTACAAGAGAGTCGATGGGATTACAATATTTTTTTTGCTTTAGAACCTACTATTACCGTTCATAATAAGTAACGCTGCGTTCGGAGACATCCTGCTTATTTGAGCTGACAGCCAATAACGCCTTTTCTTGCATCAATTTGAAGGATAATGTAACCTATGACCCGATGCGTAAGCTCGATATCTAAATGTATATGTGCCTTTAGAACGAAAACCAAGATTTTTCCAATACACAACCTTGGACCAGTTCCAGTAAACTACAAATAACTTGGTTACATTGTTGCCCTAAGTGGATTGTGTTTCCTTACGGTGAATGTTTTTCAAGTCCTATACCCGTTTTCAAAATAAAATTATGCCTCGAACTTCCGGTATGTATGATATACGGGTGTAGCTTCCTCGACCCTCCATCTGGTTAATAGTTTCTTCAGTTTCTATCACTGACTGCGTAGATTTCGGGAACTGAAAACTTTGAAATTGTGGATGTTTAACTCCTTCAGAAACTGATCGCTAACTTGGAGTACGCCAACTTATATTGAACTTTTCAGGTGCCGATTGAAAGTTGCTATGATTGATTTAGTTCACGTAAGCGATTTATTTCTGAGGAGGTTAAAAATCCACAATTTAAAACTTGACTATTTATCAAAATGTACACGAGAAATCCTGTGGGGTCCACTGGTGGGGCGAAACCCTCACACCTGTGTCATACAGCGAAGCACATTTCTAGACTTTTGACCAGAAACTGCGCTGGTGCTTCGTGCAAGGAGAGGATAGTCGGACATCTCAAATATTTACCACAGGAGTCAAATCTACCCTCATCCGGGGCTTACCTTAAGGGCTGTTTTGTCTAAGCCGGCTGCAGGTTTTAAATGCTCATCTTTTCCAGACAAAATAACATATTTTTACAAAAGTGTGTGCTTGACGTTTTATGATAAATTGCAAGCCCCACTGGTTTATTTCTCGTCACAGGAAATTATAATTTAAGGTAATTATAGATTATTTATTTGATAACTTTTTGGGAATGCGTGTAGAAACGCCATAAGCGTTTTTCCGAGAGTCCTGCGAAAATATTCCCGAACATAAGAGAAAAGGTCCCGTATATGAACTATCTCCTGCAACGGGATGACACAAATTGCTGTCCACTGTTTTATTCACTCAGCCTATTCCGGAAAATGCCATTTTTGCATGTAAAAGACGTTTATGAAAACAATTTTCTCAGTCACAATGTTTACAAATTCCAGCTGAGGTCTGTGCTACATTGTATTCCGACGGTCTCCTGAGCTATTACTTATTGTAGACTACCTTTGCCCATCTGAGTGTTTTTTCATGAGAAGTGAGTAATTTAAACTCGAACGTTTTACATCAGGGGACTGAGCACACATGACAATTGCTTGTTTTCTACACGTAACTCATATGAAGCAAGGTGCAAGAAAATACGTCTTTTTCACCAATTTCGACGACTTTAAAATTCAGATTTGCATATCTGCATATGGGGTACTTAAAAGGGAATCTTAAAGAATAGTGGTGGTCTGGTCTACAGTAGGTTTCCTTCTAAGATAGCCTTAGTGGAGGAGAAGAATGAAGTAAGGCAGGTAGGATTGTTATTAAGGGAACATGTTTGCGCAAGAACTATCGGATCCTCCTAGCCAGACCATTACTCATTCTATAAGTCACCTTAAATTTTAAAAATCTGGACTTGGCTTTCATTTTAGATAAGCGGAATATTCAAGTCAGACATTATACTTAGGATCCACTTTAGAGATCGCAGTGTTGTTAAAACAGCAAATTCCTTTGCAGCGTGCTGCAAGGACCTATTTCGGGTTACGATTAATTTCTTGTTAATCTCCAGTTAATGCAAGTTGGAATGGATTCATAGGCATCACGAAGAAGACAACTTGGAGCCAATTGTTGCTGCTCGATCCTTGACAGATTAAGAAAAAATGTGTGGTTCGAGTCGATAATAGCTACGCCCGACCACAGGTGGTATTACACTCTGCATGGTTCCTATTCCAGAGTCTCAATCCCAATCCTAAGCCAAGCCGTAGCCAAAACCCTAACACAATTCAGCCCTTTAATTTGCATTAACACTGATCATAAGCCCAACTCCGTTGATAATACGGGTACCTAGTACCATGTCCTAACAAAGGTCTGCTCACTGTCAAGTATAATTCACTTGCAGAAAACTGGCCTGCCGCAGTAAAAACAATTAACAGACTCCTAGTGATCAAATAACGTGGCGGACAGTCACAGTTCGACAATCGATTTATAAGATGTCCACCTGGTGCTTCGGGTAAACAAATGCGGTGACTTGCGCACGGATTATATTATA